GGAAACGCGCCCGGGTCACTTCATCAAGGCCCCCAATTCTAGCTTTAAAGATGATCCAAAAATGAGCTCTGAGAACAGAATCTGAGAGGGGGGGGGGGGAGATTACACATAAACACCTTTTAGAAAATCACATACATTGGAATGTATGCTGACAGGTCACAAAGCCCATAAGTAATCTGTAAGGTTAAAGGGATAACAACTGCTCGTAAGATGTACATGTTTCACAATAAATACATTGTAAACAACTCAGAGAAATATAATAAATGCTATTTTACCACCAAAACGGTGACTAAACCAAATTATTCTGGAATTTCTGCTTGTCTTCACATCATGTGACCTCCATAGATGGTTACACTCTGTAATAATCTCTTGAGAGATTATAAGAGATAATTACAAAAAAAAAAAAAAAAAAAAGGACTAATTTTGAACATGGAAATGGATTCATTGACCATTGGTAAGTATGGGAAAATTGTCCTTTACCTCAGGAAAATCCACTTTTTGGGCCAAATTGAACAGTTGTTGTGCCTTTAACAATAAAATGTGTTTATAATCACTACAGCCCTATTGCAATATATAACGATTTGTTTATGCTTACATTAATTGTTTATAGTGCATTAACTTGCAAAAATATCAGAGTACTTTAAGAACCACTGACCACTATGGCATTCTTAAACAACATAACTGGATTCAGATATACCTCTTGAATGTGTGACAACACACGCACATAAATAAATAAATATATATGCGTGTGTATATGTGAATAAATGAATAAATATATAAATGGAAAAAACATAGTGTTGTAATTTTTGCCATCAAAGAGAAGTTTGAAGCTATACTGACTGAAATCTTGGATTTATATCAAATTCTGAGAGTCTAATTATAAATGGCCTCTGGTGCCCCTTTAAGCTCTTGAAATCCCATATGGGATGGAGGAGGGAATAAAAGACAATGATTTCACTGCTTATATATGCATGTGAAGTATAATCCTAGATCCCCCATTTCAAAGCTTCTGGAAACACTCAAATTTGATCTTAAGTTATTACTTATCATTATTATAACTATTGTTTATTATTATAATTGCTATTATTAATTAATACCTGTTGGGCCAATTAAGCTGGGGGTGCAATAGGAATCTATAGGTGCATGTCGCATCCGAGAGTCCAAGCTGAGTTTGCGCCATGAATCTATAGATTCATGTCGCATCTGACATTCCAAGCTGAGGTTGCGACACGAATCTATAGATTCATGTCGCAGTTTGTGAAAATCACAAAAATTTTATAAAATCCCACTACTTAATAATTCCCATTTCAAATAATGACATGTTATTAGTAGCTTCCTTTAATTCATTCAATTACAGGAATATGCCATCTCAGACCATTTCACCACACAAATGACGCAAATTAAAATTTCCAGAGCGGGCTCCTATAGATCGATCGAACCACGATGTTCTGGGCTCAGTATCTTGAAAGGTTCACTATGTTGCGCATGTGCGCAAGCGTCTCGATTCCATAACTCGCCCATACTCGTCCCATATAATGCACTGCAGCCTCTATTTGATATAGCGATTCGCAATACGCGATGCTTTCGAGATAAGGGGCCCTGATTTGCTGCTTACCTGTACAACCAGGTGAAGTTCAGTGGGGTGCTTGGGTCACCCCTGGCCGAGCAATTAAACCTAACACTAGTTGGCTTATTGTCTGCTTCAAAGACAATTTTTTGTTCAGGATCTACAAGCAACTGAGTCCTATCTGGTAATACAATAAAAAGAAAAAAAAAAGAAAAAAAGAAAAAAAAATAAGAAAGAAAGAGAGAAATACATTAGCAAATGAATAATTAGTAAAATAAATAATACCATAAAACAAATGGAAAGATAACAGGACACCAATAGTAACTAGTAATTTAGCTACTTACAACAAATATCAAAATGAATGTGATACTCTATATCTGAATCTTGTGATCAAGAAAACAGAATAACAGTGATTGTAATGTGTGTGTGTGTGTATGTGTGTGTGTGTATTAGAACATGCATGTGTTCATATTCATGCATCATGATTAACAATAAAGCTGTGTACAGGATCACCAAGATTACTAATCTTGATTCCGTCTTTTGTACTACAGAGGGCAGTTAAACAAGATAAGATGAAACTTGAGTAGGAAAGGAGGGCATTTCAACTTACGTAAAACATTCAGGTTAATGCTTCTGGAGAGGTAGCCGTGTTTGTTGCTGACGTTACACTGAAATGCCTGTATATCGTCTTTGCTGACGTTCTTCAGGGTAAACTTGGTCAGCTCCTGCTCGTCATAACCAATCCTGGGGTCACTGAGATCTATCACATGAAAAATAGACTTAGACTCCGTTCACATGAAAAATCTATTTTCTAAAAATCTATTTTCTATTCGCGGTATCTTGTGATCACTCCGAGCGCAGCCGAGAATTAATTACAGCTTTGGAAGTAACTGGCTCGCGCTGCCAGTAATTACGCTGCGGGGTATTCAGGGCACAGACCGTGATCACAAGATACCGTGAATAGAAAATAGATTTTAGAAAATAGATTTTGCATGTGAACGGTCCCTTATACACTGGGTTATGGTGAAATGATAACACATGTATCTTGTATTGGTACCCTCTACCAGGGCGACAGATTGATATTCCACAGATATATGTCTCTAGATCAACAGACCAAAATGATCGCCTTTTTATCTATAGACATATCTGTGAATATCTTTCGAAAATCAAACTGTTGCCCTGGTAGAGAGTATTGTATTGGTATACAGTATTGATGATAAAAATGTTAAACTATTCCCAAAAGACCAAACATGTTTGTGTCAGTGGGGATTGACATCAAGTCATGTTCTTTGATGATGTCGCACCTCTTAGGTTTATATTTAGGTTAATATTAAATATTTTGTTTTAACCAACATTAAGTTAACTTGGCTATGATTCTATTGCTTCTATCTATTGTGAAGGAGCATTGCACTCTTTCAGTTTTAATTTAGCTTCTGGTGGTGGTTAAAATTTAACACAAATTTATTGAATTTCAAAGCCAAATAGAGCTTCTAAACCCTAACATGTAAAAAAAAAAAAAACATTCTTTTTATTGTAACAATGACACTCTCTTTTATTACCCTCTACCAAGGTGGCAGATTATATAGGGAAAAATGGGAAAAGTCACAGAGCCAAATGACTGTCTATTTATCTAGAGACACATCTGTTAATATCTGTGAAAAATCAGTCTGTCTCCCTGGTAGAGAGTACTCTTTTATTATATACCAGGTATGATTGACTCTTTTGGTCAGTTACCACAAACTATTGAATAATGTCTTTGGACGGCATAACTTTGTGTTGACATATAATGTCGTCATGCATTTATGACTATATAGTTGCGATATTGGGGTAGGGGGAATAGTGAAAGAGTGGTTGCCACATTAAGTAATAATGGGGTTTGGGTGTGTATGGTAGTTATATTGAAATGATGTAAAGGATGTTGATCTACATATTTATGTCTAGTAATTCTAAACTGAAAGTTGTTTTCTTTGTATCCACGAAGACAGTCGTTAAGTTAAAAAAAAAATAATTTGTGCACATTCTGTCTGGGACTATAATGAAAAGTGCCCAATTAGGATATGCAGTGCTCATATTTTTTAATATCTCCCTGCTGCAAAACCCCAGAAATGTTTGCTATGATATGAAAAGTGTTCAGAAGCCTAGCTTACCCAGTTCCAGACCATTGGAATAAAACTTGGGTTTGTCAGGAGTTGGAATTCCCTCAGCATCACATTCAAAGGTAAAATCATCACCAGCTGTAAGTGTAACATTGGTGTCCTTAGGTCTCCCAGGTTTTGTCCAGTAGGGGGCAGCTAAGCAAGACAAGATGAAATACAATACAATACAATAAATTTTATTTCATGTCGGGTATACATTGAAAGGAAACATTAGCTTTACAGCTATTCGCCGACTGGGTAAGGACAAAAACATATCTACAATAATGCAATATTACACATGAAGTCTAGTAAGAATAAAAGAAAATCTTTCTACAAAGACTATACAAAAACATGAATTCTATTAAGAAAGTAAATTAGATATATTAAAAAAATCAATCAATCAAAAAGTCAGTGATACTGTTTGGCAATGCAATAGTGTGTGTGTGTGTGTGTGAGAGAGAGAGAGAGAGAGTGAGTAAATTAAACTGGCTCACCTTCCACAACAACAACTATGCTCCAAGAACCATTCGACCCAGTGCAGCGATAGGTCCCTTCATGATCAAAGGTCACATATGGAATGAACAGGCTTGGGATCTTGTCTACAATGCCATCTGGCCATGGCATTTCTGTGCCATTGGCGGCCAATTTGTTCCAGCGAATGGTGGGGTCAGGTCTGAAAATAAATAGACATTTAAATTTAAGGGATAATAACTCTTCATTTTGGCCAAAAAATTAATTTTCCTGGAGTAAACAACAATTACCCATACTTACCAATGGTTAATGAATCCATTTTAAATTTACATTCAAAGTTAGTCCCTGTTTTGTTTTTTTTTCTAAAAAGTTTGTTTTTTTTTTGTTAAAATCTCTTAAGAGATTATAACAGAGTATATAGTCGTCAATGGAGGTCACGTGGTCTGAAGACCAGCTCCGATATCAGAATAATAGCTATAACTGTCGTTTTTGTGGTAAAACAATGTTAATGTTCATTGTGAAATATAAATCTCATACTTAGAGTTATTATCCCTTTAACCACCTCAGGTGCAAAAAACTTTTTGGCCAACTGGTCCTGGTTTAAGAATGCAATATCAATGATTGGGGTTGTCAAAACTTTTAGACCATGTGAGATTCAAACATTTTGTACAAGCTGGAACACTCCAGCACTGCCTGGGATTCTCCGTAAATCGTATTTAGTGTAATCAGTTAATTTGTGTGACACACCTCCTTGAGTAGCTAGGGGTGATTAACTTGAATTGGTTACATATATACCTATACATCCCCTGCACTGATACTCCCCCACACCGGTACATCCCCGCACCAATACTACCCCACACGGATACTTCCCCACAATTACAGACATACTGAGGGGGAGTATCGGTGCCGGGATGTACCAGTGCGGGGATCTATCGGTGTGCAATATCGGTATTGATGCGCATAATACAAAAAATTACTAAGGGGGATTATCGGTACGAGGGAGTAATGGTGCAGGGGAATATATCGATCAGTGCGGGGGAGTAACGGTGTGAGGTAGTATATCGACATGACCCCATTAACTTTCATGTGCACTCAGCTAAATTACCCTGTCTCGTACAACTCTAGGTCTGTCAGACATTTAAACTGATTACAGTGATCACTTAGCTATAGGGAGAATCTCCTGCACAGTTCAAGTTGGATCAATCTAGTATAATTGTGTCTGCTTTGACACAAAATGAACTGGAAGCACAGTTATGACTGTGGACTCCATATTAGTGCATGTCTGACTGTCTGGGATAGGCGAAAGTTCAGTCCGAATAGGTAAAGATTTGGACAGGGTGTAATGAACCTTTTCATACATATGGAATGAATACATGTCCTAAACTTATATAATTTTATATGCTTAATTCAAGGGTGTGCTCGAAACAGGACAATACGTTTTGGTCTAACTTAGTGGATAACGCAACCCACGGTTCGTGTCAGATTTACGTAAGGTCACGCAAAGAAAACCCAAGTCCACATAATGACCAGTTAAACAATTTATTAGTTGACGCGCGGTAGCTACTGTACATATTCTACGTGAAGTCTCCAACTCCTAGCTCTAATCTATGTCTCAGTACTCTGTCGCTCCCAGTCTCCTTTCCTTCTCCTGTCTCCTCTCTCTCTTGTCCCTAAGGTCTCAGTTCTCATCGCTTACATACTAATTAATTATCGAATTGAAAACTGCACTATTGTGCAATGTACATCAACTCTAATTACTTTTAATTGCATAGTTAATTGAATTCTTTACTTCGGCGCTATGTAAAGAGGCCGCCACATTACCAGTACTTAAGAGCTATTTGCCCTACAACACATTACGTCATATGTCTTCAAAAGATATCTATGTCGGACATGACAAGGGTGGACTGTCTGACAAACATGTCTTTTTATATATTTTTAAGTATTTAGGAACAAAGCAAAACATTTTCTATAAAACCATTAGCTGTGTTTGCTAGAATACAGTTGACAGGTTGAACACACAAGAATAGTTTTGGCTTTAAAACCTCATCCATGGATCTTGTGGAAACAAACAGGTCAATCACCAATCACCAAGAATTCCTGAATCATGTTTCATGCAGAATCACGCTCGAAAAATAAGGCCCATGATGCGGAATGCAAAAGGTATTCCCTAATCTTTATTTACATAAAATATGGAATATAAGGGCACATTCCCATATATTTTAGATCGTTCTATCCCTGTGGGGAATCTCATTAAATTACTGTCAGATAATCCAGCTTAAATGTCTGTCCCGCCTACTACAAGCTGTGAGGGGGTAATTAACTTTCATGCCGGCTTGGCTGACAGCTTTTTAGCGTGAACCCCCAGGGAGTTGGATCGATCTATTCTCTGGGAATGGGGTCTAAGTACTTTGGTAATGTGCACATTAGGTTTTGACGAACCACTACAGTAGTGTTCATAATATTTTGATTGCAACTGGCAAATTAAATTGTCTCGAGGCAAGTTGAGGTATTTTTCCACAATAAACAAATCCATATTCATTGCTTAATATATGTAACTCGGAAAGCAAGATTTTGAGTGGCAATTCAATTTAAAGTTATATGCACTTACTTTTCAGAACAATCACAGTTCAAAGTCATCTTTTCTCCCTCTAAGACGACAACAGGTTCTGGTGCAGTATTGCACATTGGAACTGGGGCTTTGTTGGTCATGGGATAAGCTGAAATGATTATTATGATTATTGCAATGATAATGACGAGTTCTAACATGGATCGCTACATAAAGACAACAAAGACCTCATTGAACCTTAAAAAATGAATGAAGTGTTTTAAAACAAGTTTATCTGAAAATACAGATTTTTAATCTTAAAGTAAAATGAAGAAAATAAATATCAAAATTTGGCTGGAGGTGAACTGGAGTGAAGACGTGAGCTAAGAGAAAAAAGCAGTTTTTCCAACACCAAAGTGAGAATTTTTTTCTTGCAGTGTTTTGGAGAGAAAATACGTGTAGAAATAATCGGTACATATGATATGAAAACATGTTATGCTACTTGACGGTACAGTTTGAAGTCAATTTGTATTGAGAGATATGCTGCATCGACTGTCAGCGGGACAAAGAGCATCATGGGAAAATTTTCTCAGAGTCTGTAAATCTTAATTGCCATGTGGAATTTTTGCTAGTATGTTATCTATTATGCCCATACCTAATTAAGTGGAATTTCATGGTAGCTGGACTTATCATGATCAAAAAACTCGTCATAATCGTTAAACATGTAGGGGAATGTGTCCTTATATGTGTCCTTATAAGTGTCCTTAATATATATTTACCCATTTTATACTTACAAGGATGCCCTACAGGCTAGTAATCTTACCTCTCTGAGGGAGAGAAGTGATGTTTTATTTAAGAATTTTAATTAGTTAAACCATCTGCTTAAAGAAAAGAATCCAAGAAATCTCAGGGTCAGCAACAAATCAGCAAAGATTGAAAATGGAGCGTTTTAAATCATCCTTTATAATGAACAGTCTTTTAAATTTTATGTAAAATACTGCTCCACACTGTCTTATAAGTCTTGTTTTTAGCTTTGGTCTTTTAGCTTATAATTTTTAGTTACCTTTAAATACCTTATTATTTTATATATGATACATTGTAAACTTCAACCCTTGGGTTGTGATTATAGCAAATAAATTATTATTATCATTTATATATATTTAAAGTCGGTGAAAGAAGCTGAACCCATAAAAATAAATCCCCCTCCATCCCTTTCCTCATAAAAACTGAATAACAATATTCACACTACATGTATATGCATGCATCCACATGATGTTATTGTCTTGATCTTGGAAAAGTGTAGGTAAAATGAGAGAGAGAGAGAGAAAGAGAGAGAGAGAGAGAAAGGAGAGGGACAACACAAACCTTTGCCATCTGCAGTATGCCCAGAGGATTGTTTACAAGCATGGAGTTTTTTGTCCCATTCCCAGCCTTCCAGACAAATACACTTGGCGTCCTCTGTAGTGGAACCATAGCTTTCATACTTTGTGTAGCGGCCAGCAGACCCCGGCTGGTCTCTACAGTCCTGCCTTCAAAATGATGAACATAATTATTACATCAAAATATAATATTTAATGTTATAATATATATTATTTAATATAATATTCAGTGTCATGACCCACTACTAAAAATGTGGCTTTAAACTATAATAAACATGGAATCATAATTGTAAATATCAACCTGGAGCTTATGTTTGCATACAGCAAGACAGCAAAGCTGTCAAATGCACAGACAACAAGAAAAAAAAAAAAAAAAAAAAGCTGGTTTGCCAATTTAAGCTGCACCAGTATGTGAACCATTCTTGTCAGTTACAAAATAATAAATAATACAATTTTCATTTTAGAGTATTGCAGTGGCAACTCACACAAAACATTTTCTATCAATTTTTGAACAATGTTACATTACACTTAACATCAATTTCAATAACTTTAAATGTAAACCGATTGTGCCAACTTTTGAAAGCAACCTGCCTCTTTAACAAACAAAAAAAAAGCCATTGTTTGGCAATTATGGGACAGTGACAGTGAAGGCGAAGCGATGGGGACAGCAACAACACTGACAGACGAACCAATCAGCTAGACTATATCCAGACACTTACAGTATCTGAACATAAAAAGAGCATTACATTTGGAAAAATGTGGTCCGATCAGGCTGATTTTCAAAATTGGCCTTGCTTTAATGAATATTAATCAGTTCTGCAATTTTGAAGACAAAAATTAAAACCTTTTTTATTCCTTTTGTATAATGGTGCAAAAAAACATTGCAAATTGCGACCACACACAAACATAATGATGGATCGTTATTTGTGATGCTGATAGCACTTAAAGTGATAATAACTCTTCGTTTCGGCCAAAAAAATAATTTTCCTGGAGTAAACAACAATTTTCCCATACTTACCAATGGTTAATGAATCCATTTTTACATTCAAAGTTAGTCCCTGGTTTTTTTCTAAAAAGTTTGGTTTTTTGTTAAAATCTCTTAAGAGATTTTATCAGAGTATAGCTATCAATGGAGGTCACGTGGTCTAAAGACAAGCTCAGATATCAGAATAATAGCTATAACAGCCGTTTTTGTGGGAAAACAGAATATGTTATATTTTTATGAGTCATTCACAATGTTTTTATGGTGAAATACAGATTTCATACGAAGAGTTATTATCCCTTTAACTGTTAACTCAAAACTTTAGCAAACACCATGCAATATTTGCGTGTTCAGAAGTACAACTACAGCCTGTCACGCTACTAAAGTTCAAGTGCTGCATAAAGTAAAGATGTCATAACACAGTTACAAAATGTAATTTCATAAATAACCAAGAGATTGTTTTAATTAACAAGAGTATCACAATTACAAATACTTTTACAGTGTATTTGAAGAGTTAACATCAATAAAATGTCAAAAACAATTCAATAAGTGAAAAGCATATGTTATTTTATAAGGATTGATACATTGGTTAGTAGTGTTCAGTCTTATAACAGACTCTGAGGAAGGTTACCCTCTACCAGGGCGAGTGATAGATATTTTACAGATATTCATAGATATTTCTCTAGCTAGATAGATGTTCATTTTAAACTCAACTCAGAGTTGAGCTTAAATGAACATCTATCTAGCTAGAGACATATCTGTGAATATCTGTAAAAAATCTATCACTCGCCCTGGTAGAGAGTAGAGGAAGGTCATGGTGTGACCGAATGCTTTGTTTTTGCTTTTTCATTTTGTGCAGAAAATGAAACTTTAAAACATGATTTTTATCAATACACTACACAGATTTTTATTCATCAGAAATATCAAATAATGCACAAAATGTTGAACTTTGATTTTTTTAATAAATAATGAGAAATCATGACTTTATAAAATGTTCATCATATTTTTTTGGGGGGGGGTTAATGAAATAATATTCTATATACATAGCATTCTTCACTTTTAAATTTACTGTAGGTTTTCCCCATTAGAGGTTGACTCAATCTTTTATAAGCTTTCATGCTTTGTTATATGCTATTCTGACTAGCAACCAGAACTTGCTGCCATATTTGATTACGTACATGACAGACATTATAAAATGCCAATTATGCATGTGCAAATTAAGGCAATTGTGACAGAATTTACTTGTCGAATGTAACAGCCTCAAATGTAAAAGTGATATCAATATTAGCGCTCAGTCGAAAATTGAAAACTGGGACAGTTTTGAGTTATGGCGTAGTAACAAATTGCCATGTTAAGTTGAGGAAAGGAGCCCAGACTGATCCGCCAACTTGACTTGCATTTTATCAAAAGTTTAAAGATAGAACGTAAAATGGTTTTCATTTTATTTGTATTACAGTGAAAGTGCATGGCAATATTGATGATGTCGAGGACAGACACAAATGGCTATGTGCATCTACATCTGTGTCTGTACATTTAAAAAGTGCATGTTTGAAAGCTTGCCAAGTCAAAAGATATGCTTATCATAAAGTTGACCAATGTTTCAACAGAAGTTGTCAGTTTTGAAATGATTGCACAATAAGAGATAAGAGAGCATTCCCATCTATATGCATATACTTACTTATCAGAGCAGCGGACCGTCAAATCATTTTCAAATTGCTGAAAACTCTCATCCGGACACTCTTTACAAAAGGCGGAAGATTTGTTCCTTGGGTCACATGGTTCTGCTTGATAACCTAGAAAAACAAATTTATATTTAAAACAAAATAATAATTATAGCAATAATTAAATTAAAGAATACAAGCAGCAAAGATGTAATATATATATATATATACATACAGACATAAAAGTAAATAATGATGCAAAAATAGGTTATTTTGTCAATTTTGATGATGCTTAACACTAAAATCAATACCTAATTTTTAAGAGATTAAGCCCAATAAAATTATATCATAGCAATAGATGGATCCATTTTAGCTGCATCTAGACAAATGTGGGTTAGTTGATTTGCAAAATGTGGAAAAGCAATTGAAATATCAGGGCCGTAGCAATAGTCTGAAGGTTCACTGGTCCAAATGTTCACTTCAGACATCAAAAAAACATCAAAAAAAAACATCAATGAGCATTACTTTTTGAAATAATGCAACTCCTAAACCAGATGGAAAACAAACTAACAAAAACATAAACAACAACAAAAAATGAAACCACTTGCAGTGTTGCACATAAAAAGCTCTGCAAAGTACAACAAACAAGAGGGATCAAATTTTTACTGTTCCAGAATGACAAGAGTTTTCAGTTTTAGCATCTTATGACTACTTCTCTCATGAAAATGCACCAATTGACCCCAGCTCAAGATAATGAAAGATGGCACCAAGTGTAACTTCTCTCCAGACTGTCAAAACAATTCAGCGCAAATAAATATTTTTCCATAAGAATTTATATTTTTACTAAATTTTGGCCCATTTGAATTTGAAATAAAGGTCAAATGTCAAATCTAAAGTCATATCCAAAATCTCTAAATATGACTTTTTGTCAGCATATAGAGTTACTTTTCCCATGATTCTTTCATTTTGGGAAATATTTACCATTTAACTTTTAAAATATGCATAAAACAGGAAATAAAGCAAACCTTTTGCCAAAAATATCCAGTCCAACTAACTTTGGAACTTGTATTTTAGCAAATTAAGTAAATTGATCAATCCTGTAAGTTTAAAGACAATATATTGAAGTATGCTTTATGTAAGTTTAAGAATCATAAATAACATGAATTTCCTTTTTAAGTCATCATGGCATCAGCACCAAAAATAGTGTTCTTCAACTTTGGATAAAATGAACATTAAATGCAATAAAACAAAATAAATTAGAAAAAATATGACGTACCAGGTGCACATTTAATATTCACACATTTCACATCCTGATTGTAATATTGATTATTAACTTGAATCAAATCATCGGAGGGAATGGCAGACGTCCCCAGGCACAGTTTTGGTGCAGGTATTAGCATAACAGCCAAAAGACAGAAGAAATTCCAACTCTCAAGCATGCTTTCTCAATTGTCCTTGTATCTGGAAAAGGAAACGGCTAAGTTGAAATTCAAAATCACACTGAAAATTCCATAATGTGTATCCAATTGCTTCTCATTAAAAGAGTCTCCCTGAGGTGGAAGGTGGGCTGGAAATTCGGTTTATTCACGACGACGGTTTCTTCACGTGACCCCGGTAACCCTTATGTTGTTGTGTGTAGTGTTGTTGTATATGTGTTTGAGTGCATGAATGTACTAGTACTAGAGCTTATTGGATTCAAATACAAAAGACAGTAGTTGGTGGTGTTATGATCAGTATAATATCTATTACCTATTGCTATTTAGTGATCATGGCGAGTATTAAAATAGGATGTGTGAACTTTAGGTGGTTGAGTTCAGAGCGAGTTAAAAGGAGAGATTTTTTGAAAGAAGAGAAAAAAAAACTAATGTAGCCCTGCTAACAGATAGTTATACAAACTGCAAAAAAAAAAAAAAAAAAAAAAGAGGCTGGCTACGTGGAAAAATGAATAGGGTGGAGCTCATTCTCTTGACAAAGCAAGGTACCCAGTAGTAGTGATATTTCTCCGAAATTCCTCTAATTACAGAATACACAATAAGTTATTAGACCCCGATGGAAATTTTGTCATCCTAGACATATTACTGTGCAAGAAACGCGCTTTAACCTTGTGACTATTAATGGACCTAACAGTGACACACCGGAAATTTTCAAAGACATCGAACAGAAACTTCGCGCATTTGGTAATACTACAATTCAGGGGCGGATGGAGACCGACTTCTAGGCTAGGATCCAAAATAAAGTTTTTTTTTGGATCCTAGTTCTAGGTCAGCTTTTTCAAGTTTACTTTGACGTACATCTACATGTAATTTTTTTATATCGACAGGATATAAAAACCAAGACCCCAAGATTTATCTTGCTTTGTCTGTGACGCTCTTCCATGACTTCCTTAAGTTAAATCCCTTTTACCTGAACGGCGTCCTTTCTGCGGTCTTTTTGCGCCTATGAAACTGGCATCGCTGTGGTCGTAAATAGTATAGGCACAAGCATCGCTTTGGTTGCAGAATGAATGATCAATGATCGGCTAGTTGTCGGCGCGTAATTTTTTTTTTTTTTTTTTTTTTTCGCTCTCAAACGGGAGGACGCCGCCCAATTGAAGGGAGCTTTACTCACTTCGGTGACAATAGATGCCACGAAACTACAGTCGCCTCGAGTGGTTTAGATCACATCATCAGTTGACAAACTTACTTTTTGCTGAAGCAATTAAAATGCCTGGTAGTTGACCAGATGATACGCTATAGAGCTCGTAAACAATAAAACTTGTTAATTACGCACCGCCGCACTCACTAAGACAGGTAATGACAGGTAACTCCCTCTGCGAAAATTTGTCTCTTTTAACGATTGATTATGTAATAGATAGACCCCTCGTCAGCGAGGGTTATGTGGTATACACGAGTGCGTAGCACGAGTGGATGTCACATAACCCTCGCTGACGAGGGGTCTATCTTACTTAGACCACGGTCCATTAACTTCAACAACAGTTCACGACATCACACTCACGCAACTACCCTGCTATCTTCATTACCACACTATTCATCATGTTTGGAGCGGAGGAGGACGTCACCCTCGTCTCAGCTAGATTTATTACCAACCCAATCGTTATATAAGGTGGATGTCGATGCAGAATCAAAGCGGTTCGAAGAGCCAGTACATTCCGCTGAATTTGAAAAAATGGTTGCAGACAGAATTCCAGCAAACACACAGAAAAATACGACCTGGGCATGTAATATCTTTAAGGACTGGCTCACGTGGCGTAATTTTAGAACTGTCACTATGGCCGACCCTCACTGGCCTATTCCAACCCTTGAGGAGGGAAATCTAGAGATTTTGGACTATTGGTTGGCTAAATTCATAACGGAAATTAAGCGCCAAGATGGCAGTTCCTATCCGCCAGGTGTGTTTAATTTTTCTTATCATTCGTTATTATCTTTTAAGTCGCAGCAGCACCCTGCTTCAATATTGTTAAGACATTTCAAATAAATATGCAATATTCGTGAAACAACTATATTTTGAATTTCAAAAGCATCGTGCGCTTCAGTAACGTCATCTTCAACCCAGCCTGCAAGCTCTTTATCGGCACCTCCAATGAAGCAAAATACGGAAAAGGACGACAAAATTTTAACAATTGAAATACCTTCTGTTATTGAGAAAGCTGTAATAATAAAAAAANGCCATTTTTGGACAAGGGTGCATTGCAATGAGTGCCACACCTAGACCCCAATACCGACAAAGCCCAAATTTTACGTGGAACGAGTTGAGATTATAGGTGACCTAAATCCAAGAGATGGGTATGGAGGCCCTTACCGTCTAGGAGGAGAAGCGGTAACGGTGACTTGGCGGCGGAGCCGCAGGAGCCGGCGGAGCCGGCGGAACATACGGGTCGGGACTAAAACCATGAGTACCGCCAGCGCCTACGCTGGTGGTACAATAAGACAGCAAAGCAATAAGACAAAGAGCAAGAAATAATAATGCACAAAAGAGGCTACTGTCAATTCTGATGCAATCAAACATTATGCTTAACTGCCAATTCAACAATTTTAATTAATCACAACAGTTAATAGTAAAATGTGTGACAAGCACAAAAAAAGTTCAAGTTCACACTTTTAAAATGCCACAATGAGAAAAATGAAAATTTTACAAATATTGGCATAAATTCAATAAAAATATGAAAAAAACCGGTTTTCTAATTTAAGCTCTATGTTAATCCCAAGAATCATTCGTGTAATTTTAGATTTTTAGAAAATAGACTTTCCATGTGAACGGAGTCTAACTGTATAATTACCACCAATTTTTTAATTATCTACTATACATTACATGGACATTAAGAAAATTTGATAACTATTTTGTCTAATGACCGTGGAAGCTCCAAGTCCCTTATTGAAAATGCAATGTGTGAAAAATGAACAAAAAGAGGCCAATTAGTCTCAGGCTGAATTTTAGTCCTATGGTTCTTTTTTTTTTATGTTAGTTAGTTAAAGAATCATATATAACATGGTTTTTCCTCAATGGACATCATGGCAGCAGTGCCTAAAATGCGGTTTACCTCAATTTTGATGCAATATTAAACAATGGTTAACAGCATAATCACCACCAATCTTTAATTTTGCACTACAGGTAACATGGATATTTAGCAAATGCAACTAGCAAAAGTCTTTAGGCCCATGAAGTTTCTATCTCATCACACCTTGAAAACACCAAAGTGTATACAAGATATATATGCCCTGAGATAAGTTTTTTTCCATTTTCATTTTTTTTTGTTACATAAGACAAAATATTCAGTTTACTGTCACTTTTATATGATCAACAAAGAAAATTGTTCAGATGGAAATAATATCGATAGAATTTTAAATGTCAAATTTTCTCCATTCTGATATTTTGCACATAGTGAATGATTGAATCTGTCAAACTGGTATGAGTTTATTTCTATTTTTGAAACTTAATTACACAATAACCACTTTACCATAATTTTTTATAATCAACTAACAATGTTGTGTAGATGCAGAAAGTGTCAAGAGAATACTTTTACATATCTAATTAGTTCAATAATGAGGCTGCTAACATGCCTAAGAATTAAATCTGAGGAAAACCCACTTACATACAAAAAAGGCATATCTTCATCAAAACTGAACCGATCTAGCTTATTTTTGAACTTGATTTGTATATTAGAAAGACTGATATTGGTGAAAGTGAAAATTACTGATGTGAAGGCGTGCATTATGAAAAAATCAGGAAAAGGACTCAAATTTGCTGATGGTGTGACTAAAACAAACACTAACTACTACAAAGGCTGAACAAAAATGAATCAACAAGCCTGGTTTTTCAATGGGAATGTTTATGGCAAAGCAAAGAATAGCGAGATCAAGATCAAATTAGATATACTTGACATAATACATGAAAAAAGGGAAAAGGAAAGAAACAAAATGCAATAAACATGGTGCGTTTGACAAACTGCAACGAAATGTTACTGTATCGTATTGACCGATGGACACAGGTTTTCTACCCGGCAATTGACTCGTGCAATGAAGAATTGTGTTTGCAAGTGTACCGGTAACCCTTATGTTGTTGTGTGCATCGTTCTTGTTTATATTTAAGTGCAAGAATGTAAGAGCTTATTGGATTCAAATACAAAAGACGGTAGGTGGTGTTATGGTTCAGAAACTGGGGGCGTCTCGATAGTCCGAAGGTTCATTGGTCCGAAGGTTCATTGGTCCGAAAAGTGGTAACATTTTTATCGATTTAACTACTACTTACACCAGGCAATGTATTATCAGTATAACATCTATTACCTATTGCTATTTAGTGATCATGGCGACATCACACTCACGCAACTACCCTCTCTCAGCTAGATTTATTACCAACCCAATCGTTATATAAGGTGGATATCGATGCAGAATCAAAGCGGTTCGAAGAGCCAGTACATTCCGCTGAATTTGAAACAATGGTTGCAGACAGAATTCCAGCAAACACACAGAAAAATACGACCTGGGCATGTAATATCTTTAAGGACTGGCTCACGTGGCGTAATTTTAGAACTGTCACTGTGGCCGACCCTCACTGGCCTATTCCAACCCTTGAGGAGGGAAATCTAGAGATTTTGGACTATTGGTTGGCTAGATTCATAACGGAAATTAAGCGCCAAGATGGCAGTTCCTATCCGCCAGGTGTGTTTAATTTTTCTTATCATTCGTTATTATCTTTTAAGTCGCAGCAGCACCCTGCTTCAATATTGTTAAGACATTTCAAATAAATATGCAATATTCGTGAAACAACTATATTTTGAATTTCAAAAGCATCGTGCGCTTCAGTAACGTCATCTTCAACCCAGCCTGCAAGCTCTTTATCGGCACCTCCAATGAAGCAAAATACGGAAAAGGACGACAAAATTTTAACAATTGAAATACCTTCTGTTATTGAGAAAGCTGTAATAATAAAAAAAACGGCAAAAAGATCACTTTTGAAATATAATACAGCTTGTTTTTTGTTCTTTCTTTTTTCATATGTGGTGATAAACGCTCAGTCCCTAATTAACTTGCTTTCAGGTGTGTTTACGGTTCTGTGCTTCGATGAGTAGTATATGTGTGTTTTAGCGGGTTATAACGCATTCATGCGAGACGTGCGGTTATGCGAGTTACACCACGTCTGAGTCTTTTGTTCTTCACTTCCACCGTGGTCTAAGAACCTTCAACCTCCATGAAAGAACTATTGGACACTCGAGCCTTCTTTGTTTAGAATTAGAATCATTGAGTGATCTATGTTAAACGAGGCAGAATGATCTTTTCCGTTGATTGGCATGTTGCTTTTTAATCTTCTGTGCCACGCCGTATTTATCCAAAAGACTCTAACAACAACAGCCATGTAAGTCAACAAATATTTATGAAAGAGGAGTATGAGTCTTTTGGAATGGCTGAGACAGATCCATAAATAGTTTTTTTTACGTTTTACATCTGAAATAATCTTTTGAAATTTAGATGAATGGTACGATATGAAGCAATGACATGCGATCTGACACACACCTTGAAAACGGGTAGTGTGATCCGAAATACCAGTTAATTCAGGATCCTTATGTGCCGAGTCTGGTAGTTGGGTAGGCCTGAAATTATAACCATTAACTTTTTTGATTAGCACATGGAGTGTCAAGATATCACTTTTTGCAAAACGTGATAGGGTGTGTGTGTGTGTGTGTATGGGGGGGGGGGGGGGGGGGTATTTTTTGGTCACTGTCTTTTACTGAAACATCTCTCTGAAATTACACTAGGTGTGCCACTTACAAATGGCTATTTAGTAATACTTCGCAGGCATGTGTGGGCTGGGATTTTCATTGCTAATCAGACTTAAAAAGTGTACAAACGAATAAAGGTAGATACAGCACTCGTCATCAAGCTGTATTTAAAAATAAGCCGTGAATATTGTCTCGCTTGCGGCCCGCACATAATGAATCAGCTTACGCACGAAGCACGAGGAATAAAAAGACGCATTCATGATAGCAGTATCGGTTGCTTCACGGCTCACGTTAGATAAACGTTGTTGTCTTTAAATTATGTTGTTTCGCAAGGTTGTAAATACAACACCGTTATATTCTTTCACGTTATTAATTCACTTCTTTCTAGTTAGATTCCGCGCCGCCTTCTTTCCATTTCTAAATCTATCTCATGCAATCTCTAGCGGCTTTCTCCCAGTTTACATTACATTCCTTTGCGTAAGTACTATGTCAGTCAATNGCTTGTTTCACGGCTCACGTTAGATAAACGTTGTTGTCTTTAAATTATGTTGTTTCGCAAGGTTGTAAATACAACACCGTTATATTCTTTCACGTTATTAATTCACTTCTTTCTAGTTAGATTCCGCGCCGCCTTCTTTCCATTTCTAAATCTATCTCATGCAATCTCTAGCGGCTTTCTCCCAGTTTACATTACATTCCTTTGCGTAAGTACTATGTCAGTCAATTCAGTTTATCTACAAAATACTCCCCGCTCCAACTCACTTATAGCTATAAATCACCAACCCTACAATACATGTAACGAATAATAACAATAATATTGTGACGAAGTTGTTGACTTTATGTTGTAACGCGTGGTAGTAAATGCAACGCCCTTGTATTCTATCAAGTTAATAATTAACTACTTTCCAATTGGTTTCTGCCCCCTCTTCTTTTAATTTTTATCTCTACCTCAAAATTTTAAACGACCTCCTCACCGTTTTCATTACATTCCTTTTTAAGTGCTATGAAGACGTCAATTAATTAATATAAATGACTGTCTATCTATCTAAAGACATATGTAAATATCTCGTGAAAAAAAATCTGTCGCCTTGATAGAGGGTAGGTGGTCTGAGAGGCCATAGAACTGTGTACCACACTGGAGTGAGCCTTGCTCAACACCAACCACGCCTCACCGGCCATTTCAGAAAAAAATTGAATCCATGTTGTCCATATATTCGTTTATACCAATCAATGAAAAAGTAGTCGCCTCACCTGTAGAACTGAAGAGCGCGTTTCCCCGGATCCCTCCTTTTTTCATCTGCTCGTTTCTTACAAATCACAGTCCACGTACGCAAATTCAAAATAAATGAAATTGCCCTAAAAAGCAAATAACTTACACCAAAATGTGACCACAAACAAGTGTGAAGAGTCAGAGAAATGAAGAAAAGCTTCCTGCAGAAAGCACAGCTAGCTTACCACTGGACTCTCAAGACTTTCCCGTTAAACTAAACCAGGTGTACCTAAGTTGAGTGACACATGTCAATGAGGCAACGAATCTTTTCAACAAACTTTTTGTCATGGTATTAAACCACGGCTGGCAAGTAAAGACTCGACCGTGCTGTATTTTCTCGTATTGTGCACGTGTGGCAGCACGGTTAATGTATATAATAAGGAAGGTCAACGGAGTCATTGGCGTGGTGACAATAATAGAAAATTGTTGCATTCTTCCTTCTTTGACAGCGCCTTCAAAAGGTATCCGATGTCACATTACTGTCATGAACCTTCATAAAAATAACTTTTCCACTCTTGAGACTTACCTGTTGACATGAAGCAGGAATTTATTTATTAGCCTCATTATTAATATGCACCGTTGCTGCAATGTAAGTAGAATGGGGTGTTTGTTTGGTTTATGAAAGATAAAAATGTTATTAAATACAGGCTCAAAGCCCGAGGAAAACGCAACAAATTTGTCCGCTTCAACAACTTTTTATGACGTGATAGAGGGGTGGAGTGGTATTTTCATAGCTAAATCAGGCTTGAAAATTGTCAAACTAATTAACCTGCGCCCCAAGTGGCATGGGAATGTGGTGTTTCACGGACAACGTCAAATATTAGACTATTAGTGCGCCAAAGCAACATCGTTGTATTCTTTCATGTTATTTATTAACCTCTTCCCTTGCTTTACTTGCGCTGAGACCGAGACGGTCGCCGATTATTGTTTACGGGGTACGGGCAACCCTCACAGCAGAAGCTTGCCAGGGTGTTTACAGTGTTACGGTCTTTCCTCGCCGCGCTGGGAGGCCGAGTTGACCGCCGCTACCAGTCACAGGCAGCCTGCACAGCGGAAGCCGGGAATGGAGTTTAAGTGGGGGTGGGGGTGGGGGAATAAGGGTGAGGTTGAAGAGGGGGAAGGGGCCCCCGGGGCCTCCCTTTGTAGTTTGAAATATAATTTTTAATTTTATTGCATTTTTGAAAAGGATTCTGATGCCGAGAAACCAGTGTCGTTTTTTCACAAACCATTCTGGCAACCAGAAACTAGTGTCGTTTTCGAAAAACTATTCTGGCAACTATAAAGTAGTGTCGCTTCTCAAAAACGATTCTGAGAGAAGCCAGAATTGTTTTGCAAAGAAAAACAGGTAAGGGGTGGACAGAGGGAAAGGCAACCGGCGTGCTACTGCAACCAGGTAACCCTCATCTCGGAAGCCGGCAATATGTTACAAACTCTCCGCGCCGTGTGCTAAGACCGAGACGCCCGCTGATAAGCGTCTATTTATAACAGCTACGGATTTTTGAGGAATATAAAAAAGGCGAGTATTTTTTGTTCTGTTTTATGGTCATTTTTCAACTTTTGGGACTTTGGAGTCACTTCTAATTCCAAATCTTTACCAGAGATGAATAACTCCTTTATATTTTTTAAACCTAATAAGTAAAATACTTGCTTCCTATTGTGTAATGTGGCGTCATTTTTATTAACCACCGTGCTGTCTCTTCTATGTAAAGAAGCGATCTGCTGTTGCCTTCTGTTCTCGCGCGTATCACGCGTTGTGTCGAGTGACGAACATGCGCAAGTTTTTATTGGTCTATTCTGGAGTAGTAGGAGGAGCGACTGGCGGGTGTATACATCAGCTTATAACACTTATGAGACACAATTTGTGGCTCAGGAAGCGACTCCAAAATCCTTGCATATAAATGAGATTATTTCAAAATCTTTATGTACAGCGCACAAGTAGCCCTCACTGCGAAAGCCGGGCAAGATGTTAAGATTGGCGGGAGAAGGCGGGGTTGAGGGTAAGGTTGGGTTAGATGCCTAAATATCAGTGTCGTTTTTTGATAAACGATTCTGGCATCCAGAAACTTGTTTTGTTCTTCAAAAACGATTCTAAGAAGCCATAATAGTTTTTACGGGGAGAAACAGGAGTGGACGGGGGAGAGGCAACGCGCGATTATCGTCTACCGTGACCAGGATACCTTCACTGCAGAAGTCGGAAAGGATGTTATACGCTCTCTTCTCGCCGTGCGCTGAGACCGAGACGGTACCTAGCGGTCAACGAAATAGGTGTCTTTTTTAAAAAACGATTCAGGTAACGAGAAACTAGTGCCGTTTTTTAAAAACGATTCTGAGAAGCCAGAATCTTTTTTTTCAATAAAATAAAAAATTGTACCTCAAACTACAAAGGCCCTGGAGGCCCTTCCCCCTTCTCACTCTCTTCCGCCCACCCCCAACCCCACCTAAACACCCTTCACGGCTTTCGCTGTAAAGGCGGCCTGTGCCTCGTAGAGGCGGTCATCTAGTCTTCAGCGCACGGCCAGAAAAAAAACGAAACTCCCTGAATACCCTGCCCGGCATCGACGGTGAAAGCTGCTTGTGCGCCGCTGATGCGGATCAGCGGCCGTCTAGGCCTACCCACGCGGCCGAGAGAGACCGTTATATTCTACACAGTTTCCGCGGTGAAGGCTACCTGTACGCCGTAGGCAATGATCGGCGACCGTCTCGATCTCAGCGCACGACGAGGAGAGACCGTAACACCCTGTCCGGCTTTCACAGAGAGAGTTACCTGGTCGCCGTACACGCACACCTCTGGTTCTCTCTCCCTCTGCCCACCCCTGTTTTTCTCCGCAAAAACGATTCTGGCTTCACAGAATCGTTTTTGAAAAGCGACACTAGTTTCTGGTTGCCAGAATCGTTTTTCAAAAAACGACACTGGTTTCTGAGCATCAGAATCGTCTTTCAAAAATTCAATAAAATCAAAAATTATACTTCAAACTAAAAACGGAGACCCCGGGGTCCCCTTCCCCCTATTCACTCTCACCCTTATTTCCCCACCCCCACTTAAGCCCCATTCCCTGCTTCCGCCTGCGACTGGTAGAGGCGGTCAAATCGACCTCCCAGCACAGCAAGGTAAGACCGTAACTACTAACAGCGTAAACAGCCTGGCAAGCTACCGCGATGAGGGTTGCCTGTACGCCGTAGGAAATAATCGGCGACCGTCTCGGTCTCAGCGCACGTCGACAAGAGACCGTAACACCCTGCCCGGCTTTCACGGTGAGGGTTACCTAGTCGCGGTATGCGCTCACCGCTGCTTGCTTCTTCTTCCGTCCACCCAAGTTTCTCTCCGCAAATACGATTTTGGCTTCTCAGAATCGTTTTTGAAAAACGACACTAGTTTCTGGTTGCCAGGTTCGTTTTTGAAAAACGAAACTAGAAACTAGACACTAACTTCAGCGCTCTGGCTAAGGAAGCGAGCAAAGGCAACAACTCCACACGAAAGTCACAACACCAAACGAACTCGCAACACCACACACGAAACTGAACACAGCAATGAGCACACGTTTTCCCACCCTCTAATACCACGTTACTCTTGTCGTCCCCTTACACATTTATAAAGCTATCCAAGGGAATTACAGCACCCCGGACAAAAAGATAAAACTCAAGCATGTCACATGGACAAAATGGTATCAGGTGTATCGAACTCTAGCTCTTATCAAAAATAAAACCTATGTAGTCTTGTATATGGCATGATATGTGTTGCAATATTTAATAAATATCTCTATATTTTCATGCAAATGGAAATCAAATATTAAGTCTCCGCTCTCAGAGTAAGCACCTGCCATCTTAAACGATAACCATTTGCTTTTTTAATTAGGCACGTGGAGTGTCAAGATAGAATGGTAATAGAGGAAATTGTTTTAAGCTATTCCCTCAAAGAGCCAAATTAGACTTGAGAAAATACAGCTTCACTGTGCGTACAACACAAATATGGAATAGCCTACCCGATCAAGTTGTCAGGGCAAAAAGCCTCAACTCTTCTAAGAACAGATTAGACAAGTGGTGGGATGACCAGGAAATCAAATATGACAATTATAGGTCCGAAATCAACATCATCGGAAGTCACAAGTTAGTTTTGGAGGAAGAGTCCGATAAAGAGGATCCAGTAGGAACCTGAATCGGAAATCAACGCTAATCTAATCTAATCTTAACATGCCGACAACTGGACGATCATTGAGCATTCATTCTGATACAAAAACAATGCTCGTGTCTCCTTATTAAGACCACAGCGATGCCAAATTTTAGTTGCAGAAAGAACGCAGAAAGAACGCCGTCCAGTGTAAAGGGGGTATAACGCATCTCGGGATGTATAGCCAGGGGATATTAATATTGAATAGGTATTCACATTTTTTCATAATGTACATCTTGAATTTATGTAATTATTTATGTAATCATTTCTTTATGAGTATAAATTTATTCATTTCTTTATATTAAAATGGCTATTTTTGTAATTTCCTTTTAGGCCACCACAAATAAACTACAAATAAAGCACGAATAAGTCAATCGCTTGTTTGTTCTGTTGTAACATTTAGGTCCCTGTGCAAATAACCAATTCAATCAAACGAAAATATCCCGTTATTGAATTTATACGACTGGCTTCTAATATCAAAGCGATCGTGTTCCACAAGGAACAATACTCGTATGTATAGGGTACTACTTGAAGTGAAATTATGAAAATATTGTGCTGAAGGTGTTTATTCGTGCGTTCTAAGCTACAGTAATACTATCAAAACTAACATTGACTTTTTTATTTTTTTCTCATTGAGTGCCAGTTTTTTTTAAGCACCAGACAAGTGGGGCAAGGTGAAGGTTAACAGAATTTGACCTTATTGGGCTGAGATACTTGCCTGAAGACCCTTTTAACTTCTGCCAAATGTTATCCCCCTACAGAAAACTATTTCAGTTACTTAGTCCCTAACCAACAATGAAATTAATTTAAAAAGTCTTGAATGCAAATCGAAACTGTTGGAAGCAAAAATGTTTTACGATTGTGTAGCCAGGAAATAGAAGAATTTGCGTCGATGTTGCAAAATTTTTAGGGAAAAGGCAACGCCAGTGTTTTAATTTATGGGAGGCCCCTTGTCCAAATTTTTAGTAATTATCAACAATAATATCTAAGGTTCTCTACTAGTGGAGATATAAGGCAGTTATTTTTGTAGGGTTAGCTTTTAGGTCCTGCTAGCCGGATTTCCACCCCCTATAAATCAGGGTCTGCCGGCCACACCTCGCAACTCAAATTGTCTGTCAGTATCT